CTCCTCCTCCTCCTCCTCCCCCTCCTCCTCCTCCTCCTCCTCCCCCTCGAGCCCCGAGCAGAGCCGGGCGTCGCACGAAAAGCACCCCGTGCCAGCGGCTCTCTCCCAGCCTCTGCACCGCGCCGTCGGCCTCTCCCGGAGCCGCCGGTCGTCCCCGGCTCTCTCTCCGCAGGTCTGGCAGTTGAGCACGCCTCGGGCTACTCCAGATTTCGTAATAAAGGAGGAGGAGGAGGAAGAGGAGGAGGAGGAGTTTTCTGAACCCCGCGCGGGCCTCTTGGATCGGCGCGGGGAGCCCCCCATGGCGGCCCCTCTGGCGCCGCCCCCCGGCGCAGAGCCAAGGGGTCCGCGCAGGCCTCCAATAGTTTCGGGGGTGGACAGACCTCCTACTCCAGATTTCGTAATAAAGGGAGGGGGGTCCCATTTCGGGGGGGTGTCTCTTCCAGGCTATCTTGGAGGGCCTGGGGGGGTCTGGGGACGATGTCTTGGAGGGTTCTCCCACGGGGGAGGTCTGAAATGGCTTGTCTTGGAGGGTCCAGACCCCCTCCCTTTTATTACGAAATTTGGAGTATGCTGCTCTCGTCGCACTGGGAGAGACCACCCCCTCTGGTGAGGGGGTGGGCGGGGTGGAGATGCCCAGCTGTCCCGGGACAGGCGCCGCCCATCGCGGAGGAGTGCAGTTCGTACTGCTCTCCGCCCGCTAACCCGTGGTTGTCCCGCTGCTCCCCTGGACTCCCCGAGTCGCCGCCTTCTTTCGCGGCGTGGATTCAAGGACCACATCCCAGAAATCATGTCGACCACCCGGCAAAGTGCCGAAATAGTGGCGAAACAGCGTCGGACGAGTGTCTCCCAGGGCCCGTATTTTTTTTTGGTGCTCGAGATTCTGTCTGGTGACTGCCCCCCCGGCAGGGGGGGTCGAGGTCCCCGGGCCCCCCCGCCTGGGCCGAACATGATGCCATGATCACACAGTCGGGGCGCTGACCTAAGGAACGATAAATAAGGAACGAGGCCCCTTTTTCCCAGAAGTAAAACTCAGATTTTCCATGGAAAACCTCAGGAAGACTCAAGGAGCACTGTAAAACAACTAAGGAACACGGAGCCCCTCCCAAACGAAAAGGGTTCATTCTTCAGCGGCCCGACTGTACTGGCTCGGGATGCGTTCCAGGATCTCCATTTGGGCGTCCAGCGGCGCAGCCAGTGCGACTCATGAGAGGGAGAGCGTGGGACATCGGGGACACCCCGGGACTCCTGGAGCGTGTCGCGATCATGACCACCTGGCATCGCTCGGACGTCCATTCCCTGTGTTTTTTGTCGGTTTCGTGCGTGGTTTTTTCGCCAAATGATCAACAATGCTCCTCGATGGCCCTCGCCGAAGGAAGAATGCACACGTCGGAGCGATGCCAAGACCACCTGCTCCTCCGAGGGCCAGCAAAAAATGATGACGTCGGGGGCGAGGGGCGAAGCCAGAGGAGCACACGGATACATCAGCAGCACTTCTCGGAGCTTCGCGCGGACTTCTTGGATCCGCGCTGCACCCCCCTCCCTGGCGCGCGGGGCACGCCAGGGGCGGCGCCAGAGGCGCTGCCAGGGCGCCAGCGCCGATCCAAGAAATCCGTGCGGACCTCAAAGAAGGTGTGGATGTGCAACTGCTTCTCTCGCCGAGGAGCAATATCCACGCCATGACACCTACTCCGCCGGCAAGTGCGGGGGGGATCGCGTGCAGGGGGCCAAGAACGGCTGCCCTTCTCATGATGTGAGGGGGTTGGATATCGCCGGACTCGGTGCGCTGTGGGGGTCAAACCGGGGTGGCGAGGGAAGTGTGTGTGTGTGTGCGCTGATTGAACAGCTCGGAGTATCCCCCCCACCGACTGCGAGGCGTGCCCCCCGAGAATCTCGTGCAGTGTTTGGCTGTGGACAGGGCGGCGAGTAGGCAATAATCAACGCTCCGCGACATCGTCGTTGGCACTTGGGGGTCTGGTGACTGATCGCGCGGTGACCTCACCGCACGGTGCGTCACCGCACTGTCTTGGGACCCTGGAAGCCCCCGTCGCCCGAGACGTCCTCGGAGAACGGCCCGAGCCCCAAAGCCGTGCGGTGACACCGAACCCCCACTGACTCACCACACGGTGGGGTTGCCTTACCGTTTGGGGCCCCCGAGGCACGCCTCCAGATCGGCGGACTCGGAGCCATCCCCAGTAATGCGGGATGACGATTAATGAAAAATGGGAGAGAACGATTTAAAACATAGTTTTCTGTGATTTCTGCATAATTTTCTGACTGGAAGAGAACGATACAAAAAAATAGCTTTCCAGCCCGCGGCCGGTTTTTTCTAATCGTCATCCCGGGCGCCGCCGCGTGAACACGACCCCCCGTCATTTATGAATCGTCATCCTCCATTCTGGGGAAAGAGGTGTGGCGGAGACGATGCCAGAGCATTTTGATGGTGAGGGCGGTCAACCTGCTTCCCTCGGTGGCCGGTCCGAGCCAGCACATGCCACGACCTGGAGGACGCGGCGCGGGGCGCCTGGACCGAATTCTTGCAGTGTCTATCAGCACGGAAGCTGGTACAGGACAGTGCTGAATCTAGGTGGAACCGGAATCACCTGATCAAATGGTACAGAAGAAGAGAAAGACGCCATAACCAGAAACTTGTGGCGCTCCGCGCGGCTTTCTTGGACCTGCGCTGGACCCCCCCTTCACTGGCGCGCGGAGCGCGCCAGGGGCGGCGCTGCAGGCGCCGCCGGGGGGGTCCAGCGCGGATCCAAGAAATCCGCGCGAAGCGCCAGAAGTTCATATTTCTGTGCACCGTCGGGGCGTTGACCTAAGGAACCCTAAATAAGGAACGAGGCCCCTTTTTCCCGTAAGTTCAACCTCGATTGCCTATGGAAAACCCAGGAAAACCCGAGGTAAACTGTGAAACAATCAAGGAACACCGAGCCCCTCCCCAACGAAAAGGGTTCCTTCTTCAGGGCCCCGACTGTATTGCCTTTTTCCTTCCTCGATGGTATTCGCGCAGCTGGGCCCGGCCTTCACCTCGCCCAGCTGCTCAAATTACGGGCTGCGGGGCAGGCGCGCCCCAATTCGAGGTGTGAATTGCCAGCAAAAACAATTTGACTAAGAGAGACCCTTCGGCGGTGGACAAACCTCCCTTTGGTAAACCTCTCCTGGGGTGCCCTCCGACCAGCGAGGAGAACCTGGCCGCAGCGACGGGGGCTCTGACTCGGCGGTGGGGAAACCTCCCTTTAGCAAACCGCCCTTTAGTGAAAGCGGCCTGGGACCGAAACCGACGGACCTGGACCCGCAAAAATGACGGCCGCGACGCCCCCTCGCGAACCGAACACGGCCAATTCCTGAAGCGACGCGTCAGGGTAGGAGGTCTGTCCATCCCCGAACCCTACAGGCGGCCGGGGGCCGGCAGCGAGCCCAGGGGGGTGGGCGGGTGGGGACGTGTTAGGTCGGGCATCATGTCCCCCTGCAGGTGGATTTTGGGCGAAGGATACAAATGAGTCCAAACATATTCACCAATGGTCAACAATACTCAGATAATCGTCCCCCGACTATTGTTTGACTATTTTCACATGTGCCTCCTGTAGAGGGACACGCCCGACTCAAGGGAAGTGAGAAGGGGCGGGCCTTCTCGGAAGGCTCGGGAGGCCTCGGGCCTTCTCAGAAGTCTGCCGAGCCTTCCAAGGCCGCGCCAACGGCGTGCTTGGTTAACGGTGCGGTTGGGAATATTGTGCTTGTGGCACCAAGCTCACGCAGAACAAGATATAGGCAAATACCCCAGTGCGACCCTACCTAGAAATTGGAGCCCCTAGGAAACCAGCATTAGTTGCTATGCTATGCTATGCTATGCTATGTCATGCTATGCTGCGCCATGCTATGATATGCTATGATATGTTATGATATGCTATGCTGCGCTATGCTATGCTATGATATGCTATGATATGCTATGCTATGCTATGCTATGGCATGCTGCGCTGTGATATGCGAAGCTATGTTATGCTATGCTATGCTAAGCTGCGCTATGATATGCTATGCTATGCGATGCTATGGTATGATGCGCTATGCTATGCTCTGCCATGCTATGCTATGCTATGCTGCGCTGTGCAATGCTGTGCTGTGCTGTGCTGCGCTATGATATGCTATGCTATGATATGCTGCGCTATGCTATGCTATGCTGGGCTATGCTATGATATGCTGTGCTGCGCTATGCCATGCTACGCTATGATATGCTATGCTGTGATCTGCTATGCTAAAACTCAGCGAAGCTAAGATGAAGGTAAGCCAAGCGAAGATAACACTGAGGTAAGATGAAGCTAAGCTAAGGTAAGATGAAATAAGCTAAGCTAAGATGGGATAAGCAACGCGAAGCTAAGGGAACGTCACTGGGGGAACCGCGGGGCGGATGCCGGGGGAACCGCCCGGGGCGTGCCCCACTGCCCGGCCCTTTAAGCCTCAGAATAAGAACCCTTCTAGGCAGAACCTAGGTAGGGAATAACGAAACACGGTTTCCTACATCTCAAATTTGCGACTGCATCGAACGAGAACGACACGGCGAGCTGTAGGAAATGCGAACCACGCGCTCCTACAATCGGTTCGGTCACGAACCGAGGCCTTCCTACACTTGGTTATCCGACCGCGCCGTTCGCTAACACACCGTTAGCGCGTCTACGGGCCTTCCCCGAACGACACACACATATCAGCCAGCGTTGACTCCAAATAGATTAGACGACTCATATCAAGGACTCAGAGGAATCAAGCATGCTTGGAATCCGCAGCTCAGCAAGCAAGCAAGCAAGCGTGCAAGCAAGCGCGCAAGCAAGCAAGCAGGGATAGGCATAGGCGTATGCATAGGAGTCAGGGGGGAGGCATAGGCATAGACATAGGGATAGGCATAGGCATAGCCATAGGAGATAGGGGGGGCATAGGAATTCAGGGGGGGGGGGGGGGGGGGCAACGGACCAATCAGAAGGGTTTGAGCTAGGACTCCTACCAAGCAAGCCTGTTTGGAGAAACGCTTCTCAGAAGGCCGCAGGACTTCTGAGAAGCCCCACCGCCTTCTGTGAAGGGGCCCTGGGACATACAAATATATACACACAAGTAACCAGATTCACCATATGTTCCCATAATTTCTGGGTTTTGTCTTCCCCCCCACTTCCCATATTTTCCAGTATTTTCTGAAGAATCGGCGATTAATTGTGTCTGTGTGTTTCTTGTCCTCCTGATTCTGAGAAGGCCCTCTCCCTCTCACTTCGCCCCCCTCGCTCGCCGCCGAAGCAGGAGAGCCTGCCCCGGCGGCCGAGGAGGAGGAGGAGGAGAAGGAGGAGGAGGAGGAGGAGGGGGAGGAGGGAGGAGGAGGGGGAGGAGGAGGAGGAGGAGGAGGAGGAGGAGGAGGGAGGAGGAGGAGGAGGAGGAGGAGGGGGAGGAGGAGGAGGAGGAGGGGGAGGAGGAGGGTTAGCAAGTGCGCTATAGGCTTAAAGGGGCACGTAAACCCAACTTTCAGGATGAGGCGGCCATCAGCGAAATACTACAGACTCTGCGACTGCGAGAGATACATAATCCAGTAGTTGGCCGACCGCAAGCCACATCCTCAGAGTCGGAGGTACTGCCGGAAGCTATCGGCCGTCTGCTGAGAGG